ATGAGAGGTATTTGGGTACAAAGCTAGCTTAATTCAGTAAAGATTGTATCATCAGGAGTTCTTTTTTTTTTTTTGAAGCAGTCTTTCTCTGCTGTTTAGGCTAGAGTGCAGTGGCGTAATCTTGGCTCATGCAACGTTCACCTCCCAGGTTCAAGCAATTTTTGTGCCTTACCCTCCTGAATAGCAGGAATTACAGGTATATACCACCATGCCCAGCTAATTTTTATATTTTTAGTAAAGACAGGATTTCGCCATGTTGGCCAGGCTGGTCTCAAACTCCTAGACTCAAGTGAGCCACCGTGCCCTGCCTGTATCATCAGGAGTTCTGATCAAGGAGGCAAGCCAAACCTAGAAAGCCTTCTATTCTGCTCCAAACACATAATAATGCAGGAGAAAAAAAGTGTTATCTCAACAGCAACAACAACAACAACAACAACAAATCAGCTCAAAAGAATGAAAGGGAAATCCCCAGGTGTTAGACAAGAAAAGGAGCTCGAAGTCAGAGCAGGGATGTTAGCTGAAAACAGTGGATTCATAGGCCTAATGGGTAGGCCTTTGAGAGCCGTGTAGTGAAGCCTTCAAGCCCTGTTGTTGGCAGTATGGCAAGGGTGGAGCCCCTCACATAAAGTCAGATTCATCAAAAAGGCTGCGAAGCAAGGATTAGAAGAAATTTCACTCACTGTCTAAAGAAAGAAGCAAGAATGCGTATAGTATGTTTGAGCTTCCATAAAATAATTAGAAGAAAATGAATAATCAAGAATTGGCAACGTCAGCTTACAACTTGTAAGTACATGTAGGTGTGAGGAGTGAATTTACACTGCTTCCTTCTTATAGGCAGGAACTATGTTTCCCATGCTAAGAAACTGATTTTAAAAATTGTGCTGCTATCAAATCAAATTTAAAAAATTAAGTCCAACTACATGTTGTGATTAATAAAACTACACATGAAACTAAAAAAAAACTACAGAGAAATTTTCAAAATAAAGCGATAAGGAAAAAACATATTTGACTGAACATTGCTATATTCCACTGTTTTACCTACAAAAATGGCAATTTCATATTACTCAACACCTAATAAACAAAAGAACACTAGTGGAACTCTTAGTGGTGGCGGGTCTTTGAGTTACTGGTGGCGAATCCATATAGGTCTGCAGAAACCTCAATTCTTGCCACCTCAGAAAAAAGAATTCTACTGAGGGTCATAAGACAGAAAAAAAGACTGAGGCAAGTTTCAGAGCAAGAGTGGACGTTTATTAAAAGGCTTTAAAGCAGGGATGAAAGAAAGGAAAGTATACTTGGAAGAGGCCCAGACAGGCACCTTAAGGTCAAGTGCCCCATTTAACCTTCAACCTAGCATTTTTGCATGCTGGCCTACTTCCAGCATCTCGTGCCCCTTTCCCTTCATTCTTCCCTTATGTGCGGTGTCCTGGTGTGCTTGGGAGGTGGGCATGCACAGTGTGTTTACTGGAGTTGTGCACATGTTCACCTGAGGCTTTCTTCCCTTTTCTGGTGATAAGCCCACTGAAGGTCATACTCCTTCATTTTACCTCTTAATGTATATGCGTGAGCCCACTTGCCCAGTTCCTGAGATCTTATTGGAAGCTGCTGATTATCAATTTCAGATATTTTTTTTTTTTAAGATGGGGTTTCCCTATGATGGCCAGGCTGGTCTTGAACTCCTGACCTCAGGTGATCCACCCACCTTGGCCTCCCAAAGTGCTAGGATTACAGGTGTGAGCCACTGCGCCCAGCCTAATTTCGGTATTTTTATCTATTCAGAAACTTCCTCTCCCTGGCACTGGCAGTGACTGATTATCATTTTAGAGAGACAGTGTGACAGCTGCTGGACCATCACTTGTTAGTTGCCTGATGTTGCTTGTGAGTCGAGGAGCCCTCTCCTGCTCATGCCTGACTAGCTACCTTCTGTAACAGAAACATTGTAGTTTCAGACTCTTGAGGCAAAAGCACTACTAGGGATACAGGCAAACTCAAAAACAATAAACTAAAAAGATAAAATAATCTTGAAAGCATTTACTAATGTCTCAAAATATATATAGCAAAAACTGTATTACAAGGAGAAATTGACAAATCTACCCTAGAGAAAACCTGGTGCATCCACACAGAGAGACATGTACAGCTGCTCATTTCAGCATTGTTTATAATAGCAATTATTGACAAATTAATACTTGTACAATTTTAAGTACTTCTATCAGAAATTATTAGACAAAAAATTAATATGGAACAGAGTTAAACAAGCAAACACTGAATCCTTTTCAACAAATAGCAATATATAGTTGTATACAGGGATACATTCTGAGAAATGTGTCATTAGGCAATTTCATCTTTGTGTAGACATTATAGAGTATACTTTCACAAAATTGGATGTATAGTCTACTACACTCCTAGGCTACATGGTATAGGCTGTTGTAGCTAGGCTACAAGCCTGTACCACATGGTACTGTACTGAATAGTGTAGGCAGTCGTAACACAGTGTTAAGTACTTTTTGTGTCTAAACAGATCTGAACATTGAAAAGGAACAGTATTGTAATCTTATGGGACCAATGTTGTCTATGTGGTCTGTCATTGACCTAAACACCGTTATGCAGTATGTGACTACATTTTAAAAATACATAACAAATCTTTCCTAAATTTACTACATCCTAGGCCACAAAAGAAGTCTCATCAACTTTGAGAGGCCGAGGCAGGCAGATCACAAGGTTAGGAGTTCAAGACCAGACTGGCCAACATGTTGAAACCCCATCTCTACTAAAAAATACAAAAATTAGCGGGGCATGGTGGCTTGTGCCTGTAATCCCAGCTATTTGGGAGGCTGAGGTAGCGGGGCATGGTGGCTTGTGCCTGTAATCCCAGCTATTTGGGAGGCTGAGGTAAGAGTGTAATAAATTTAAAGATAGACAATAAACACAAAGGCTGAAAACTCCTTATTTTGAAGATAAAAACAGTGCTTCTGAATGATTCATTTGAAAGGAAATCACAGTGAGGAAAACTTGTTTTAATAATATGCCAAACTAGATTAAGAAACAACTAAGAAACTTGTATAAAATGTGCAGTACACATTTTAGATACATTAATATATCAGGAAGAAAATAACGAATTAAGGAATATTCAAAGGCCAACAACCAAAGGAAAGGAGAAGTTCCAGGAATTAAGCCTTGGGAGTATTTGATGAAGCCAAGGCTCTTGAACTCTATTTTTCATGGCCTGCAGGATGCAGGGGATAAAACCAAGGCCCAGGGCCCTGCCCAGGCAAGATTGGAATTCTAATCAGAGAGTCTCTGATATAAACCTAGGCCTCCCAAAGTTTTTCACCTACAGAATAAGAGAGAACTAGAAACAAATCCTAGCATAGACTTGTAGTGAATCATTAGTGGATCATGAAATGAATTATTCAGTCACCATTAGCATTGGTTTTTTTCAACATTGAATGTAGAAATCCTTCATGTAACTTTTGTTTCAGTTTTTGTATGTTAGGGTGTATTTATCCATGAATATGTGTGTGAGTGCACTTGGTTGCATTATTTTTCATTGTTCTCAATTGTTAAGAAAACTTGAAAGCTAACGCTAGAGAAAACCTAGTACATGTGCACAAAGAGACATGTACAACTAATTTCAACATTATTTATAATAGCAAACTACTGGAAGCAACCTACATTTCTATCAGTAGTACGATAAATAAATAAATATAATTTTCATACAGTAGAACATTATCGATTAGATAAAATGAGCAAATCATACCTGTTTATGTTAACATAGATAAATCACAGAATACTGGATGGTGGGAAAAATTACGGAAAAATAGGTATAATTGAGTTTATTGTTTTGAAAAATACATATCACAATGTTTGGGAATGATAGAGACCAACTTCAGTGCAGTCACTTCAGAGGACAAAAAAAAAAAAAAAATGGGGTGAGATTGAGAAAGTGTTCCAGAAGTTGATTCAAGCTCTCCAGCTGTGTGTGTGTGTGTGTGTGTGTGTGTGCGTGTGCGCACACTCGCGCGCACAGGCATGTGAGTGAGCTTTTTCCTTAAACAAATTTACAATATGCCAAAATGTTAATATATGAATTGTAGATATTTAGGTATTGATTGTATTATTTCCTGTACTTTTATGGTGTTTGTAATATTTGACTTTCTAAAACATATCGTATGTAAGTAGATAACTGTTGTAGTTTTCTTATAGGGTAGAGTCTTTAGAGCAGGAGTCCCCAAACTTTTTACACAGGGGGCCAGTTCACTGTCCCTCAGACCGTTGGAGGGCCGCCACATACTGTGCTCCTCTCACTGACCACCAATGAAAGAGGTGCCCCTTCCTGAAGTGCGGGGGTGGGGGGGGGATAAATGGCCTCAGGGGGCCGCATGCGGCTCGCGGGGCGTAGTTTGGGGACGCCTGCTTTAGAGGAATGATGCAACAATTAAATGTTTAGGTATTCTTTACTGAAGCACATTCAGTTGTATTAATGCTTGTCTATTATGTCAACTTCAATTAGATGAAAGGTATGTAATTTCATAAGCATATTAATCATACTGGGAAAGAAAAAGTATGGGTAAGGAATACAGTATAAAATTCCAAATATGATGCTATTTTTAAAAATTTACTTATTTAAAAAATTATTGTATTTTAAGAAAGGGAAATAGAATAACTCACTACTTTGAAATCCATAAGAAGTGGCTCCAAAAAATGCATATGAATAAGGAGTTCTGATGACAAAAGGAAAAAATTCTTTGAGTATTACATTCATGAAAACGTATAGGGAAAATAATCAAACTACCACCAAGTGAATAAAAGTTAAAGTTTTCTACATCATATTATTGAAATTGTAACTTCTTGGTTACAGTGAAGCAACAAAACATACAAAAATACTTGATATTGGCTAAAGCTTGATACTGGCTAAGATATATATATATATGTATGTATGTATGTGTATATAATGTATCTACAGTTTTATCAGTCACATTTTTTTTGTTTGTTTCATTTAGCTGGTCACCTGACTTTTGAATGCCGCAATTTTCTCCGGGTAGATCCTAAAAGGGACATAGTTTTGGATGTCAGCAGTACAAGTAGTGAAGATAGTGATGAAGAGAATGAAGAACTGAATAAATTGCAAGCATTACAGGAAAAAAGTAAGCAATAGAATTTTTTTTTTATTCTTTAGAAATGTTTGTAAATGTTCTGTCATATTATGTCATGCTTATCCATGACACTTATCATTAAGAGCTTTTATAGTTCATCTAAGAGCTACTGCACAGGAAATGGGTTTTAAATATTGTAAGTTATTTGCCTAAGATTGAACAGCTAATCAGTTATGGATCCAGGAGGCAAGTCTATTTCTGATACACAGCTCATGTTTTTTGTTGTTGTTTTCCCCCCATCACATTAGAATATGTGTCAAATGGCTGAAAACAATGTTATTTAAGATTTGGTTCCTAGTCCTATTTGGCAATTTGTTTTGGCATGTGATTTGCACCGAGTCACTTAACCACTCTGAGGCTCAGCTGCCTTGTAGGGTAACACAAAATATTGGATTGTCAAATCATGCTCATGCAGATCAGCGATCTTAGCCGGTATCAAGCTTCACTAATAATTTCAAGTATACAAGTGATCATGAGGCATAGGCAAAGCAGAGAGTTCTAGTCATGCCAATACAGCTCCCCAGGTATTTCCCTTCTGTTTCAAAACCCACTCTGATTAATATTAACTTACAGCAAAAAAAGTTGATTTGGTCATAAAACATACTCATTTTATGCTTGGATAGTTACATTTTCCAGGGAGTTATGTCCCATTAATCCATAGATTCCAGGTTTGTTTACCATAAACAATCTCAGTTACATCCTACTAAAAGTATATAAATAATAATTATATAAATAAGGATTCTGTAGCTAACACATAATCATTTATTTTATTTATTTATTTATTTTTCCAGGAGATTTGTTGTTAGTGTTTCAGAGAGATTTCTCCAGGTCTGTGTTTTAGAGAGATTTCTCCAGGTCTGTGTTTTCTGGGCACATCTTCCTCTCTCCCTAGAGAGAGTGGATTGTAGATCTATTATTTAACCTTTTCTTTTTCACATTGTGTATAAAATGGCTCATCCTTGCAATGGGGTTTTTAGGGATTAAATATGATGCTATAAATGAAACTACTTTGTAAACTACAAACTGTGATGTGGTAAATATCACTCTGAAATAAAATATAACTTATATGAATAGACAAGGAATGACAGAGTTGCAAATTTTAGATTCATTTTAGTTTAGACTATCAGTGAACAGTAAACAATAAATTTTGTTTTTAATGTCAAGCTTTCCATATTATGTCCAGTTAAGATAAGTGAAGAAGTCAAATGTGAGGAGCTAGAACAAGCTGAAAAGGAAAAAGAAGGAAAGAATCACAAAGACAGCAAACAAGAGTCATATCATATATGAGTATATACAGCTTCAGGGTAAAGATAATTGGTTGAATACACACCCTTACTTTTGTTCTCTACTGAAATACCACTAAAATGACAGAAGTAGAAAATTCAAAAGCATAAACTTAGAAAGGCAAAGAAAATGAACTAGGAAGGAATAGCAGTAATATTTTGGAAACTGAAAAGCAGATGGGTGATAACTGATTGCACTCTTGAAAAAGGTAAATTCTTTAGCAGTATGGAAAGCTGTGGAGTAACCTGATATATATTCTAAAATCCCCTAAAGACATGATAATTAATATTCTTGGGTACCTTTAGCAGTATGGAAAGCTGTGAAGTAACCTGATACATATTCTAAAATCCCCTAAAGACATGATAATTAGTATCCTTGGGGTTGAATGTAAGACTAAAAACAGGAAGATTGGTTGGAAGTCTCTGCGAGTTAGATCTTCAGTTCCCTTCCTCTGTGAAGACAGATGACTTCCCTTCGTCACCCCAGCAGACTACTGGAGGTTTATTTTCTAGACAAGGTGAAATATAGGTTCTTTAAACTGGGACACACTAACCATAGCTGAAAACAGGGAGGAAGTTAAAGGCTGAGAACTTTCCAGCCCTCTTCACCTGTTTGGTTCCCAGACATATATCACAATTAGTCTAGGAAATACTTCAATCAAATGAGTCCCAGAAAGAAAATTTCCAAGAATTGAAGGACATTAGTTTTAGAATTGAAAGGGTTCCGCAAGTACCAAACACAGAGCTAAAAATAGACCCACACAAAAGCACACCATCATAAAACTTCATATCACATGGAACAAGGAAAATACAACCCAGGCTTCCAGGATCAGGGATTAAACAGGTTATCAGTTTAAGATCAGGAGTCAGAATAGATTTCCACTTCTCCAAAGCAGTCCTGAAAGCTAATAGATGTTGGGATGCCTTCAAATTTTAGAAGGGAAATTATATCAAGTCAGAATAATATTCTCAACCAAATTATTAGCCAAGTGTGAAAATAGAATAAAGTTGTTTTCAGATATCTCATTTTTGATTAATTTTTTTATGTGGCATGAGGTGAGGGTACAGTTTTATTCTTTGGTATGTGGATATAACGCTTGACCTGAGACCATTTGCTGAAGACATCATATATGCCTGTGTTTATTCCTGGACTTTCTGTTCTGTTCTATTCATCTATGTGTCTGTCTTTATGTCAGTACAATACTATTTTAATTACTATAGCTTTTTAATATATTTTGAAATCAAGGAATGTGATGCCTACAGCTTTGTTCTTCTTAAGATTGCTTTGGCTATATGGGGTCTTTTGTGGTTCCATATACATTTTTGGATTTTTTTAATATTTCTGTCAAAAGAGCCATTGGTATTTTGGTAGGGATTTCATTAAATCCATAGATTGCTTTAGATAATATAGGCATTTCAATCCATGAACACAAAGATTGTCAAATGCCCTTTCTGCATCTATTGAAATATTCATTTGATTTTTAGCCTTCCTTAATGTAGTTTGTCACATTTATTGATTTGCATATATTGAGCCATTCTTGCGTCCCATGGATGAATTTCACCTGATCATAGTGTATAATCCTTTTAATGAGTTTGGTTTGCTAGAATTTTGCTGAAGATTATTTCATATATGTTTATCAGGTATGTTGGTCTCTAATTTTCTTTTCTTTCTTTTCTTTTTTTTTGAGGCAGAGTCTCACTTTCGTTGCCCAGGCTGGAGTACAGTGGCACGATCTTGGCTCACTGCAACCTCTGCCTCCTGGGTTCAAGCAATTCTCCTGCCTCAGCCTCCTGAGTAGATGGGACTACAGGCGCGTGCCACCATGCCCAGCTAATTTTTGTATTTTTAGTAGAGGCGAGGTTTCACCATGTTGGCCAGGATGATCTTGATCTCCTGACCTCATGATCCGCCCACCTCAGCATTCCAAAGTGCTGGGATTACAGGTGTGAGCCACCGCACCTGGCCTGTAATTTTATTTTCTTAAGGTATGTTTGTCTGGCTTTGGTACCAGGGTGATGCCAGCCTTGCAAAATAAGTTTGGAAGTGATCTCTTCTCTCTGGTTCTTTCCAAGTGCTTGAAAAGAATTGGCTTAATTGCTTTTTAAATGTTTGGTAGACTTCACTAGCAAAGCCGTCTAGTCATGGTCTTTTCTCTGTTGGGAGGATTATTGCCTTAGTTGTTACTGGTCTGCTCCTATTTTCAATTTCTTTATGATTCAGTCCTGATACATTGTATATTTTGAGTAATGTTTTCTTGTAGGTTATCCGATTGGTTGGCATATGTATATATCATTGTAGTCTTTAAGATCCTTTATAATTCTGTGGTATCATTTATACTCTCTTCTTTCAGGTCTAATTTAGAGCCCTCTCTTTTCTGAGTCTAAAGATTTGTCAATTTTATTTTTTATTTAAAAAAATTCTTAGTTTCTTTGAGCTTTTCTGTTATTTTTCTAGTCTCTATTTCATTCTTTTTTTTTTTTTTTTCTAGTTTCTTAAAGGTATAATGTTTGGTTGTTTATTTTGAGACTCTTCTTTTTTTTTTTTTTTTTTTTTTTCTTGGACAGACAGTATGAACCACCACACTTGGCCCTCTTCTTTCTTAATACAATCATTTATCATATAAACTTCCCTTTTAGTACTGCTTTTGCTGGGTCCCATAAATTGTGGTGTGTTGTAATTTCATTTATCTAGATTGTTTTAAAATTTCTCTTTTGATTTCGTCTTTGACTTAATGGTTGGTCAGGTGTGTGTGGTTTAATTTCTACGTATTTGTGAATTTTCCAGTTTCCCTTTCATTACTTATTTATATTTCCATGCCATTGTGGTCAGAAAAGATACTCAATATTATTTCACTCTTCTTAAATTTGTGGAGACTTGTTTTGTTGCCTAATATGCTCTGTTCTGGAGAATGTTCTGTGTGCTTGAGAAGAATGTATTCTGCTGGTGTTGGATAGCATCTTCTGTATATTTTGTTTTTATTAGAACCAATTTCTGTATATAACCTACTAAGTAAACCTCCTTATCCATCATTGCTAAGTGAAAGAAGAAATTATTCCCATAGCTGCTGTTTTATTTCGTTAATTCCGCATAACTTTTTTGGGACATGTTTGCAATAGTTAGTCTGAAATTATTATTACTTCAAAAGAGAGAGAGACAGAGAGACCTACTAAATAGAAAGCTACAGTGACAATTTTAATGTCAGACCAAGTAGATTTCAAGGCAAAGAACATTACCAGAAATAAAAATGTAGAGTTTTTTTTTTTTGTTTTTTTGTTTTTCATAATGATAAAAGGGTCATTTGGTCAAGAGAACATAAAAATTCTAAGTGTTGGCTGGGTATGGTGGCTCACACCTATAATCCCAGCACTTTGGGAGGCTGAGGTGGGTGGATCACGTGAAGTCAGGAGTTTAAGACCTGGTCAACATGGCAAGACCCCATCTCTACTAAAAATACAAAAAATGAGCCAGGCATGGTGACATGTGTCTGTAATCCCAGCAACTCAGGAGGCTGAGGCAGGAGAATCACTTGAACCTGGGAGGCGGAGGTTGCAGTGAGCTGAGATTTACCACTGCACTCCAGCCTGGGCAACAGAGTGAGACTCCATCTCAAAAATAAAATAAAATAAAATAAATTTTGTTTATACATCTAATAACAAATATCTGAAACATATCCCTGTATAAACATAAAGAAAAATTCTTATAGATAG